CAACCAACAGACCAACCAACCAACAGACCAACCAACCTACCAACCAACAGACCAACCAACCAACCCACCAACCAACCCACCAACCAACCCACCAAAAAACGAAGCACCAAATTAAATTATCATTATTAATAAAAATATTAATATTTAGAAAGTGTTCTTATCAATTATCACATACCTGTATCGTTGACGTCAACAGCAACAGATGCTGAATGACTACCGTAGCCATGGTCCGCATGACACTCATAGGTTCCCGCGTCTCTTAAAGTAGCTTTCGGGATTTTAAGCTTGTGCGAAGTCTTGTTACTGCTTGAAGATATTATTATTCTGTCTTTGTACCAAGTTACTCTTGGAATTGGCTTGCCTTGTACAAAACATTCCAAAGCGATATCATCTCCGACTGATATCTCAAAATTATTTGACGGATATATTGTAGTGAAGACTGGGACTGAAAGAGATTTGACAGAGTTTCAAATTTAAGGATTTTAAATGAACCCAAAGCACTTCATTTTAACGGATATTATGCTGCTTCAATGTCACTGTGTTTCAGGTTTTTATACTCGCACTTGACTCAGTCATAATCGTGCTTGACTCATACTCGTGCCTGGCCGCACATTCATGCAAAAAGACAGGTGATCCGTGATCCGAAAAATCTGCTTTTTGTGTTAAATAACCCACAACGAACACGCGTAAATCTAAACCCTGGCTACGTATTTCTCACTTAAATTAAGTATTAATGTATTTACGTCTGCAATTTGTGCGCTTACCTATTACTGTCAATTTACAAGAAGCGCTCACTAACGGGGTCACAAAGTTCGATGCAAAGCACGTGTACTTCCCCTCGTCTTGTGAACGAAGTTTGTTTATTCTCAAAGTACCGTCCTCGAGGACTTTAAATCGTTCTCCCATAGCGCTAACGGGCATCATTTCTTTCCGCCAGGTGATTTTAGGAGCTGGGCTTCCTGTGGCACGGCATTTTAGCAAGACTTCGGAGTTCAAATATCGCACTGCGTAAAAAGGTAAGGTGTTAATATTTCTCGTTAACTATTCATTCTGTGCAATAAAATATTGATAAAGTTAACAGGTTATTATTTGGTAAAGGCTTTTTATTATGGCATTAACTGTCCTACAAAATGCTTACCAACGTCTTGCGGAGGTTGAACTATCGTCACATTAACAATAGACACTGTAGTTTTAGGTTCACGTATGATTAATTTTCTAGTCGTTTTTTCCGTAGCTGTGGTTGTTGTTTCCGTAGTTGTTAGATGCGTTGTAATAGGCTTCAATGTAGTCGTTTCTAATGTCGTGGTTGGCGTTTCCGTAGTGGTTTTCTGCGTAGTTGGTTTGCTTGTAGTTGCTTCCAGCGTTGTTGTTGGCATTTTTGTAGTGGGTTCCTCCGTAGTAGTTGGTTCGCTTGTCGTTGTTTCTTGCGTTGTGGTAGGCGTTTCTGTAGTCGGTAGTTGCGTAGTCGTGGGTGTCGTTGTTTCTTTCGTCGTGGTTGGCGTTTCCGTAGTGCGATATTCGGTAGTTGTTGGTTTGCTTGTAGTTGTCTCCTGCGTTGTTGTTGGTGTTTTCGTAGTGGGTTCCTCTGTAGTAGTTGGCGTGCTTGTAGTCGGCTTTTGCGTTGTAGTCGGCGTTTCCRTAGTCGAAGGTTTCGTTGTTTTAGGTGTTCTTGTGGTCGTTTCTTGCGTTGTTATTAACGTTTCGGTAGTGGTTCGTTCAGTCGTTGTCGTGGAAGCTGTCGTAGTTGGCTGCCTTGTTGTTTTAGCAGAAACATCCTTGCAAGCCTGGACATAGCAAGATTCAAATTGAACTGGCTTGTCTTTTTTATTGCACCATCGTCCATCCGGGACAATTTTACTATCAGCCATGCACGTTACGTCCCGTCTTCTGATACCATGACCACATGATCTGGAACACTGTCGAGTCAAACAATCAGTTAAATAATATCAACATTATATTATCAAGTCCATAGTACTGGCCGTAATACGGACAACTTTTGCCTAGTGGAAACCCCGATATATCGAACACTACGGACACCAATAAAGAAATTACTGAAAAATCTCCCGTTACAGCGAACACTCGCTTTTGCGGACATCAGACGTTTCCGCGGTAGCGAGAGTTACTTTCAGGACTTTGTTGGTATTCAGGGGATTCATTATTTCGTGTCCGTAATATCGAGGTGTCCGTAATAGCGGGGTGTCCGTAAGGCGAGAGTTGACTGTACAGCGTACGACCTCCACCGTAAAACTCTGCTTACCGGTTCCCATTGGTGGATATACCATCCTGAATGACAGGGTCTTTTGATACATTTTCTTACTCTAGGCATAGAGTAGGACGCGTTGCATTGTTTGTACGAGACAATCCTCAGTACGTTACCATCTTGAACGGCACACATCACGTTACGCATCTGCATCCCGACACCGCAAGACGTCGTACACTGTAAAGACGATGGATTTTTGAATACCTGACCCAGTCACTCAATACAATTAATATATTAATCATACTGACCAGCGACAACATTAAAATAAATAACTAAACATAAATACATGTTTTACGTTTAGAGACGGGAGTTGTCACCGAGTCTCCCTACTCCGTGACCTCTGTTATTTATCAGACATGCTCGCACTTACGACCACTACATTGAATGTTTTACCACACTGTTCTCCTCACAGCTAGTTTTTGACTGAGGGAGGAAAATCAAAGTACCTGGAGAAAAACCCTCGGAGCAAGGGAGAGAACCAGCTTACACTAAAAACTTATATCACATATAATCCCGGCAAAGAATCGAATCAGGGCCATAGCGGTGATAGACCAGCGTTTTAACAGTTTGGTCATCGCTCCTTACGTTCGATCTGGACCAGTTTGTTCAAAGGTTATTTATCAGTTAACCATGCTAGCTTATTAGTACTAATCAAGCTTCGAATAACCCTGCCTGTGAAGTTTGTGAARTTTAAATAAGGAGAAAGCAATCATCTTACCCTGCTCCACTGTGAYCCATGCCACATGGCCGTGCACACACCCTCGTTGACACACCCTTTACGGCTGACTGGTTTTGTGCTGTTGTTACATAAGCTGGTTGGGTATTTTTGGTCTTCGTTCTTTATACTCACACAGTAAACCATTCTTGTGCTGATTCCCTGACCACATCTTGGGTAGCACTGATTATATACAAAAAAATGTTCAACAAATTTCCCTTAAAACCCTCTCAAATGACTAAACATCATCAAAAATTGGAGGATATTGCAGGATTTTTTGGCTTCAAAACATCGCACAAGAAACAAGAGGTCGAAAGCAAGGCTGAACGGTTGCTTCCGTTGTTTTCATCAACAAATATAACAACATTCAAAAAGTAAACTTCCAGGTGATCTCACCCGGACTCCAATTTACGACTTTCCATACTCAGGTTCAGTGACATGAACAAAGCATTGAAGCGAGGCGTTAAGGTACAGTGAACATAAAAGAAAAGATCTGTGCGTAGTGTACCTTCACGCCTCACTTCAATGCTTGCTTTGTTCGTGGTCACTCGACCTGCGTTTGGAAAGTCGTGAATAATTTACCGGACTCCAATTCGTGGCGATCCATTTGACGGTACAGGGGCCTGGGTTACATCTAGCTACGTTTCTTGGYTTATTGTTCAAGTCACAGCTTGAGTCGGGTAAAGTTTTTCCAGAAACATCTTGGCAGGCGACTTGACGAGAGACCCGGCCTTCACCACAAGACGCGGAGCACTGGAACACARATAGTAAATTATACTTTGCTACAGCTGATGTAAAATGTATAAGTACTARAACGCGAGAAAAGCGAGTGCAGAATTCCGACAATGTAAGTGTACAATTTCACTTACAGGAAAACGTAATAATTCTATTTGAACATTGAAATTTTGCAAGTGAAGACTGCTTATTTAGTATACGTCAATAAGGCATGTTTTGCCATATATGGAAGTCTAATTCCWAATAAGGAATGTCTCATTTACCTGTGACCATCCGGCAGAGTTCCATGTKGGGCAATACCTCTTCAGCATACAGGTCCTCATAGATATTGGTTTTGGTGACTGACATCTGTCATCAGGTATCATTTGTGGTTCTCCTCTTTCGATCACGTGCTCACAGTGAATACGACGGACCTGTTTACCTCGACCGCATGTTACTGAACAGGAACTCCAATCACCAATAAACCATCTGGTGAGGGACAGCGGTTACGTTATGACTATTGAAATTYACGGCATTTTGTTCTCCTTAAAGCGTTTTGTATAATTCCCTTTTTTAAATTATAGCAGATTTTTGTTCTCGTGATTAAATATACAGCGCGTTTAGGAAGATGAAGGTATTATTATCCTCAATTTCAGTTCTTTGCAGTCTGTATCTTGAAATTTGGAAAAGGACACAACCTCGCTACCAGGCTCCTTTACAAAAGAAGGAGACAGCCTGGAAACGAGGTAAGATTGAATCCCGAGAAATAAGACTTTTTAAGCCATGTTAGGTTTGAAATACTGAATTCTACAGTTATTAACGTGCGAAGTAACTCCCTTTAATGATGTTTTTAATCTCACCTTGATGGGCATGACTGTGTATTACATCGTCTWGTAGTCGTTGGTCTTTCCTTGGACTCACATTTATTTTCATCAAATTKTTTTTGGTCACGTACCCTTATGCAAACCACATTACGAGTTTGATAACCTGAAATCCAAGGTATAAAGGTAACTACATATTCCCCATATAATAAAGTAACTTTTACTCCGTGAGTTGCATTATTCTGGCCTCGTCCCCAGGCTTCTCTAATTCAGCTCAGATCCAAGATGGCGAAAAGGTGACGTGAAAGCAAACAAATGAGGCTACATTTATCTAATGTCTCTCTTAAATTAAAAGTATCAAAGAAATGTTACTTACCTCCGGCACAAGATGCACTACAAGGTTTATATTCGCCCATTTTCCACTTGTATTCTGAAATCTTGGGAAGCACTTTTATATGTTTTGGTATTGAAAATTCGTACTTTATACCAGCGTTCTTGACACTATCAAGTAGCAAAACCTACAGAAAGGCAGTTAAATGTTATGAAAAAATATATGCATTGGTAATAAGTGACAAGATACTAAGTCGTACTGTATATAGACAATATATTTCTATTTCAAAATAGATTCAGAGAGAATGGAACTAATGGAAATTGTCCAATGAACAGAAAAAAACTTTCAATGGAAATGGTCGCTAGTGGCGCCTGGTTGAATTTGACACAAGACATAATATTAATTCAAGAATAGACCACCATCACGACATGGAGTGCCGTTTTCGTTTGTCATACGACATCCGCTCTAATCAAACTCATAACCAGAGCACGCATAATTTTTGCTCTGCGATAAAGAACTCACCCATAGTTCCTCTTTCGTAAAATTCTGCGTTTGATAATTTTTCTTACAAACTTTTTTAAAGTGCTGTAATAGTGATTTCAAGCTTACCGAGGCGTGAACAGGCTCAGTTGTTGGTCCGAGTGAACGAATGGTTTCTTGACCCCAGTCCGTTCTTTCGTAACGGAATAGTGCGCCTGCAATCTTGTAGGTRCGWGGATTTTTGATCTCAAAGTTGCCATTGAAAAAGTATTTGCCCTTTTCATCTGAGAGAGCTGAAAGAGTTAAGAACCTATATTAGACACCACTCAGTCTTACCATATATAAGTACAGACAAGGTGTAACGTTAGTTTTTACAACGATTTTTGATTGAAATTGTGATGAGCCTTCGCGGTCTCGCTCAGACGGGCGCGGTTGATTTACAGTGGACGGGGCGGGAGAGGGGGTTCGAGTTTATTACCTAGATAGTGTCCAAAGAAGTCTGCTTCAGTAATGAGGATATTCGTTGCACTTGGAGGTATAATCAAGAACTCTTTATAATCTGGATATAACAATATAACACATATAACATATATATCACAACTGTAGAGTAAATAATCCTTAGATTATCATTTATAATTATTATCATTATTTTATTATTAAGTTATTGATATCGTTAATATGTGTTTTCTACTTAATATGAATATAACAACATGGTGGTTAGGACCAACACAACTGTAGTGAATAATCTTTAACTTATCATTTATAATYATTACCATTATTTTATTATTAAGTTATTAATATCGTTAAAATTGGTTTTCCATTGAATCTGAATATAATAATAATAACTATTCGAATATTATTTATAATTATTACCATTGTTTTATTATTAAGTTATTGATATCGTTTAGGTGGGTTTTCCACTGAGCTGAGGGTATACAGGCATGGGTATTGGTGGGTACTCACTATGATTGCCAAAGCCATTGTATTCACCAGTGATCGTTCGACAATTCTCACCATTGCCATTACACACTCGACATTTGTCTTCCTTTGCCGTCGAGTGCATAATAAGATCGCATCCTAGAGGCTGCGGAAACAAAAAAATATAGTTTATTCATTCAAAAAGTCTTTACATGAAAACGTTTGAAGGCACAGGATTGCGCAATAACCATGGCTATGGTAGATCAGGACAAGACCTAGTTCTCAAAATATTGAGAATCGCAAACAAATTTCCAAAACCAAATAGTTATAGAAAAATATACGTCGGGAACAAAATAGAGAACCAATTAAACTAAGCAATGTTTAGCCTGATTTTCAGACGGACCTGGGTCCAAAGCTAACAGTTCTTTCAAACTCGGGGCTAGGAAAATCAGACAACCAACGTAGAAGTACAATGTTTTGGATGCACGGGGTAAATCCTACTGAACCACTTATTCATCAATAAACCGCGAATCAACATCGAGAACAAAAAAATAAAACGAAAATTCTTCAACTTAGTTTTAGATTCACGAGGTAAAGCCGAGTGGTCCACGTTTAAGGAATTCCACGCACAAAAACATCGGAGAACTCACTGTTTTTTCTCCATGAATCAATAATGTATTCTTACCTGACACTTTCCATYGATGCATATGTCATAGGATTCTGGTCCACACCTCGTGCCATCGGTGACTTTGTTGGCCCATCGATAGTAGAAGTATCCTCCTTTAGGCATACAGTTCAACCCACAAACATCGTGCTCTATTATGATACAAAACTCCCGGTTAATAACAATAAAGTGGTTTGCTTTAAATCTTGCTCACTGGCATCTGTCTCGTAATTTGCTAATGAAAATGCTATTGTTTTCAAAGCAATCATAAGTTAAATTTGTATTTATGTTTGAAATACACGCGCATGCAATCAGCCAATCAACCAACCAATCAACCAGCCAGATACAATTGAAATCAGTCAATCAATCAATCAATCAATCAATCAATCAATCAATCAATCAATCAATCAATCAAAAACCAACCAATCAATCATACAATCATCGATCAAACCATCAGTCAATCAATCAATCAGTTGATTGATAACTGATTCTTAAATGCCTGGTATTGTCTTTCAGATTATTGGATCCAAATCTGTCTGGCCAAAGAAATTTAAAAGAGGGGAAATATGTGCTTATGCAAAGTAAGTTACTGTATAAGTAGGGGATCATTATTACCAGGAATGTAAGGGACCCAATCAGCATATTTGACTCCTTCGAGTGTTCTGTTGTTGAATTTGGCACACTGTTCAAACCGAAAATCTCCAGATCCCCCGGGACAGTCCTGAAAAAGCGAATGAATAAAAAAAGGAATSAATTACGGAATGCACGTGCATGTATTACGTAATTAATTACGTAACGGATTCACACGCCGGGATCTCCGTGTTTTTCATAAAAAGTTCAAATACCAACAAGGCAGTTATGGCGCCGTTTGTATCACTAGCTATGTATTACTAAAGAGACCGTTTAAAAAAAAACAGACAGACTTATTTTTGTAACGACGTATGTAACATTTCATYAACGCGCAGGAATCCGTAATTACGTTAATATTTTCGCGCGTGTTTATTTACAATTCATGCAATTCTGCACGATTTTCCGTATAAAGTATTCTTCCTCACTTTGTATTTTACGTTACGTTTACGTTACGTGTACGCTAATACGTAAGGTTGTTCTACCTGAATGTTACACGTTCTGTATTGCCGATTCGGTTCAGGGCAGGACCCATCGTCCCTAAAACACATCGAGCTAAAATTAGTGGATATTTTACATTGTACAATGAAATGATTGTCATGGTTGTGTACAAAGATGCACTGATGAATGGTATGTGGGCAAAAGAATAAAGAACCGGTTAAATAAATAAATGGATGAAAGGGATGAACAAATGAATGAAAAAAAGGAGCGAATAGATGGATTAAAAAATGAATGAATGAATGCAGCAATTGATGGGGATTGGTAACTAAATGAATGAAAGGTTACTTTGTGTGAATGGCTAAATGAAAAACTGAACAAACTAATAATGAATTGATGGATGGGTGGATGGATTAATAAATGAACAAACGTATAAATGGATAATGGATAGTTAATGCCATAAATGTGTAAGTAAAGTTAGTAAAGAAATCTGCTCACGTGACATCTAGACATTTCCGATCTTGAAACATAACACCAACCCCACATGTACGAGAACATGGCGACCAGTTSCCCCACGCATCACCAGAGTTCTGAAACAACAAGCAAACAACGATTTCATTGATCCTTATCCTGACGTCACATCCTTGATGACACTTTTCATCAAATACAAGACMCTTGATCAATTACGCTCGCCAAAATTGTAATGTATGTAAAATTGATCAAGAATGACAAGTTAAAGTGTCGATTTATTATGCATTGTTGCAGTTCGTAGCCTTCGTTGCAGTCGCTCCTTTGCGTTGCGTGACGACACGCGCGCCGCCTACTGAGCAGGCTATAATTCGCGCCATTTTGTAAATCTGGGCGAGCCCCGCCAGCGACCAAACCCTTACCACAARCAACAACTGTTTCAGCTTAATAAAGTAATCAACGTTTCAACGGTACGGAACTTGAATTAACAATAACATGACCTTATCTCACAAAACGTACATGTCAAAAGTATAATAATTCTCTCTCATTAGCAATAATGTCKATTAAGATAAGGTTGAGACTTATTAAGCAAGACAGATGGCGGCTCATTGTGTATGGTAAATAATGCATTTTCATGTTGCGTAAAATATCGAATCACACTATACGGGCGTAACGCTGGTATCACGAGTAAAGAAAAGTTTTRAAGCAAGTTTTTATTCATTCTTGAACGTGATGAAAATCACATTGATGAAAATCAGCAAATAATGAATACTCGACTCTTCATAGTTATATTTTCAACAGCATATAAAAGAATTTTCAAGTATTTCATTACATTCCAAAGATTCTCATATATTATTTCTTATTCGAGACTTTCTCCATTATGTATCGTTAAAATTAATTGCGCGATGAAATATGTTATTATATCTTCGTTGGGCGTCGTCACATTTCTTTCACATCGATATAAAAGCCTGCATTCATGGAATTTCTTTTGAATATCTAAGTATTAATTGCAAAGATTGGAATTTGGAAAGTTTATACCTGCATAGAATAACTCTAGCAGTCTCAAACCGTAATGCCTTATAATATTCAATATTTAAACTACAGTGTTAAATGTTGACTGCGATTTATACTGGCTTGAAAATGGGACCACCTTTTAGTTGAATTTTCAGCTATTATGAATACTTGCAGTACCAACAGTTCTGTAATCCTAGAGGCAATAATGGAGTTAATCCCTTGKTTCATAGCGAAAAATTAGCGTAGCTATAATGAATTCAACATGACATATACAACACTAGTTTATTGTTTTCTAATAGATCCAYATGATTGATCTAACCCACTCGGGTCCAAAAATAAGTAACCGTGAGGTCATGTATGGGTTTCCCCGTTGCAAATATGCAAGCATGCAGTGTTGCCGACACACATATGGTGCTAAATACGGCTTTGCACCCTTCGAAAAAAAACACGTTTATTTAGTTAAGAAGTTTGCCAGATTGACGGTGAAAGGTGATGATCATCAAACCCGCTCATTCAAAAGATATAGGTTTTTTTTAGGAGCATCGCCTCTACACATTACAGCTACGTAATAGATCTTCATTAATCAGCGATTCATAATGTATAAATGGTATTATTAGAAGCAGAAAACAGTTCCATATGATATTTTCTAATTATSTAGTGAATATTATAAAGTGTTTGTCTCCAGGAGGCCTTGTCAGGGTCAAATTTGCGTCATTTGACAAACACGTTTGTGCTGAAAGACAGCCATCTGGCCGCGTAAACGGGATTAGCTTTCACAGAAACTTAAACCWATCAGATAGGCTTCCACGATCCCCRGACGATTGCGAAATATAGCAAGATAGTCATTCTAAGTTGGGTATTATACTTKTTAAAGGTCKTYTTTAGTTTAAAYCAGTGTTTGGTTATGATGCGTGCTCGATGCGATTCTTACAAAGCCATTGCCACCTTATATAGATATCGTGATATCATCGACAAACCTAAAGACAGCACGCGACAATCATTATTAACCGTTATATGAGACACCTAAAGCATTTATCAAATGATTGAAAAAATATGCAACGTTTTATACTAACATCAGTGAATAKACGAATCAAATAGCTTTAAATGCGATACAGGTTTAATAACTAGACAAAATGTTCCCGGCAAATGATTCCTATCATATYCCTTTGAGTCATTAGCAGCTAACAAGCTTCTGATACAGCGCGATGCTGCAGCGCGCATCCATTTCCATCGGCTAGATTTTTTTTACAACTTTTTAATGCACGTTTCCTTTTCAGCTTCATTTTAGCGGTAATGCGAATGACTTCATATCCGTAATACTCTTCCAAAGCTAATACTTGGTTTTGTGGCAGTCTCGTTGCATTACGCACGTTTTACGCCGGACCGCAAAGACCGCGCGGAATGGTTTCATCGATATGGGGCCACTTCCGCCTCACCTTGTAGTATTYCATGGATAAACTTGCGCAAMGGACGTTTTGGTTTTGCTTGAAAGCTGATAAGAACGTTTATTTACCCTGAAGTTTTGTTTATGTTCATGGWTGTTCTTTGACATTGGSCGACSGTGACCTGYAGTTCGCTACTACGACATGTTTTGATCGTGTAACRTTGTGAAATGGAATACGGAACGAAATATTTGGACTTAGAACAAGTTTTTACGTTTTTTCCTTAGGTTGTATTATTTTATGAAATTCTTCAGTCACTTAGACTATTAGTAATYGGGATATTTTGCACTTCTCTTGCGGTAAAAATCAATTGGTGTGTGTATTCCAGAAGTACTTMAACTTTCTATCCTTTAAACACACTACAAGCGGTTCCTCATTGTGGCTTATGAAAACCAGAACCACAATGAAAAAACGCMGGAAAAACACACCGCAGAGCTAAAACTCCACTCTTTGATATGTCTGTTATGGGGTTGACAYGATGAAAAATGTCACCGAAGATTGCTATGGATCGAAATGTCAAAGTATTCTGTTTAGATAGTTCATTGAATATCTGYGATGTTTACCTTTATAACCTGGGACGTAGTTCTTTGTAGTAATACGCAGAAAATAAGGGTACAAATTACTGAAAACCTGGAAAATATCAAACAARGTGCAATAACAAAACATGGGTCAAGACGACTGGAAGGGTTTCAGTGACATCTGATGAAGAACTCTCTCAATTTTTAAGAAAATGAGCGCACTGGAGTTAAGATTTAGGATACAATACTTATTTTTTTATATTTTTGCTTGGAAAGAAAGGCACGAAGTAGCAAAGTATATAAAATAATGATCTGGAATGGCACAGGTTTGGTATTAATAACTTGACATTAGGAAATCACGTTTGTTTTGTTGCTCAATGTTTGACTTCAAACTCCCTTGCTGTGTATTGAGCAGATTGGGTTTATATAAACAACGCGTGCTAGCTGGACTAGCTGATCAACTATGTGTGCGACAGACAAGTAAAGAAACTGTGCCAACTTCTTAAGTAAAACGAGCAAGATAAAATCTTAAATTAAAAAGAGAGTTGACTGACAGACCGTGCTAAATGTGGATATAGGAATTGATACTGCGTMCTTTTTACATCAGCTTACCTGATCATTGGTCAAGTTTTAACAGCTGYGGTGTTAAATAATCTGGTCTAGATTGGTGGTTTTMGTTGTGTAGGATAGATTTTAGCCACGGCGATCAAGCAAGGCGCGCTACAGTCTCCAACGATGRACCCACTACACATATAACATCTTATATATTTGCACGACAACCGCTGACAGCCTAGACACTTCGACAGTGTCGATTGACGGGCTTTTCCGGCATCCGACACACGGCGCGCGCCAAGTTCTACAAATGTTTAACATTCTTTGGTGTGTACTTTAAAAACTCGTCCCCTTTTTTTCGTAGATTTTGGCTTTATTTCAATTGAGCTCTATTTTTAKATTTGTTTAGGTAGTTTCAAACCAAGTTATTTTGTAATATACCTAGGGAGAWAGCGTTTGGAAAGGTTTTCGTGATTAAGGTGTTATTTATGAATTTGGGAGTGGATTGTTTTCTCAGTGGTCGATTACTGCGTGACTTCTCCTAGATATTCACTAGTTAGTGAATGCRTGCGGTTTAGGGACTTCCACTGGAAAAAATCGCGCGCTTTAAAGGTTGTAAATTTGATGTAAATATGATGTAAGTGTCCAAAATTCTGTAATGAAAATCATTTACATCAAATTTACAGAATTTTGGACACTTACATCATATTTACATCAAATTTACAACCTTTAAAGCGCGCGATTTTTTCCAGTGTTCTATCATCTGTCAGAATCAGTGATCTTGTAACCTTTTTATGAAGATCTGAAAACTAACTTGATTAGTGAAACCTTTAGCGATGTCGTCTGGATTCATTTTCTCATTAATGTCTATTATGTTAGAAATGAGAAAAGAAACACTGCATTTAGCACTGAAAAGGAAACCATAATGATGATATCGTAGAGAGAATAAACATCATTTTAAACGGTTTAGAATAACAGTGTGTGACTGACAGTTACAGAAAACAATCGGCGAATGACTGACAGTCACAGCACAACAATCGTTGAATGAATGACAGTCACGGCACAACAATCGGTGAATGACTGACAGTCACGGCACAACAATCGGTGAATGACTGACAGTCACGGCACAACAATCAATGAATGACTGACAGTCACAGCACAACAATCGTTGAATGACTGACAGTAACGGCACAACAATCGGTTAATGACTGGCAGTCACGGCACAACAATCGGCGAATGACTGACAGTCACGGCACAACAATCGGTGAATGACTGACAGTCACGGCACAACAATCAATGAATGACTGACAGTCACAGCACAACAATCGTTGAATGACTGACAGTAACGGCACAACAATCGGTTAATGACTGGCAGTCACGGCACAACAATCGGCGAATGACTGACAGTCACGGCACAACAATCGGCGAATGACTGACAGTCACGGCACAACAATCGTTGAATGACTGACAGTCACAGCACAACAATCAATGAATGACAGTCACAGCACAACAAGTCAATGAATGACAGTCACGGCACAACAATCAATGATTGACTGACAGTCACGGCACAACAATCAATGAATGACTGACAGTCACGGCACAACAATCAATGAATGACTGACAGTCACGGCACGAGCTCCGGTAGTACAAATCCAAAGGTCGTGGATTCGAATCCCAGCGAGTTCGGAAATTAATTTTCACGATTTTGATTTATTTAAGGGTTTTTCTCCCGGAATAACATCCTTTCTCAGGACTATAACTTGTCTTTCATAGTTATAGGTTAGGCAGAGAGTAGAGAAGAAATTAGGACACCTTAAAATCCGTTTTCACTATATTAGAACTTCTTTCATCAAAAACTAATTACGTAGATTTGTTTTCGCCGTCGGTTACTACTGGCGATGATGATCCATTCTAATCAAGTGGTGATGACGTAAATTGATTCTAGAACGACAACAATTGTTGAAATGTAAGCATTTTTTCGTTAGTGGAAGATTTTGGTTGATTGAGTCTTACGACAGGGTTTTAAAAAACTATGAAAAGTACGTCGAGTGTATTTCATCTCGCGTCGAAAGTGGAGGGTTACGGAACTCTGTAAAAAGGAAAGAAAACGGGAGAAAGGGAGTGAGAAAGAATGAAATAAAGACGTAAGGAAAGAGAGAAGAGAAAAGGAAGAAAAAAAGGAAGTTACAGTGGCATCTAATTTATTATAAGTTAAAAATTARCGGTGAAAGGTCTTGTGTCAAAGTTAAGCAATCTAGAAAAGTGCGAGTTCAACCTATGACGATTATGACGGCTCAACAGTTTCCATTCRTGCGTAGGCCTATACTAATTTCTAAAATGCTTAAAACATTTGGAATTCTTGCACAATGAAATCAGATCTAAAACAGCAAGCCCTCGTCGAGGGATCTGGACGGTTATATAGTTTAAATTCTTTAACAATGAAGTAATGTATATTTAAAAGCACTCCAAGGCTTGACGAACCTAGACCAGGCCTCTGTTTTAAAGACAAGGTGGCCCAGGGGAAATTCACATCAGATACATATTATTTAAATTGGGTATGGCCACATTAACATACACAGCTTGTACCCTTTGACCGTGCGCTGCCCCACCCTATAGTACCCCACCCAATGTGTCTTTTATCTTGAGTTGGTATGTTTTGCTAGACGAATAATGATTCATTATGAACCATATTAGCTCCATATGCATGAATATATGAATCCATAATATAGGTACTCATTTGCTTTATAAAATTTGATTAATTATCTAGTATTGAAGTTAAAAAAACTAGCTACGTTTTCTCATGTTTCGATGCAATCAAGAAAACTAGTTGTTTTAATTTAAAAAAATAAGTTTATAAAACACAAAATTAGATTAAAGAAGAATGACATCCCATTTCTGTTTGAAAGACTACTTTTACCTTAAACKTGATGTAMAWAGCGATAAATCTGTATATGTGTCACKAAGCTAAAAACATACACATTTTCGTGGATATTCTGGTTGTATCTTTATAATCAAAAGAACTGAAGCCAGAGGCTCTGGATTGCCTATGGTTTTCCCAGAGCTTCGTCTTCAATTCTTCTGTGCGCCGTCTGTCGAAAGTAGGCCTTCATGCAACTCACGGGAATATGCTCCGAGCGCAGTAAACTCAATTATGTATCTATTAGTTTTCATATGACAAAAGTATACATATCATTTTTTATTTTAGTTCAAAAGTATATTTTTAGAACATTTGTTATTGGTTAAATATCTACTTTCTGTTGATCTTTCGTCTTCCGAGTTTCTTAGTGACATCTTGGTAACACCAGTCTTCACAATCTGGACAGGTTGTACAGTACAGTCGCTGGCTTAGTAGTCTAGCCTAAAATATATATAAATATAAACCAGTTTTCTATTATTAACAATATTCAGGGCTTTTTCTTCTGATATGGGTCGTACTTAAGGTCATTTAGTCGGCATGTTGGATTAATATAACAAAAAGTTCTTCAATAGTTCAGTTCTCTTGCTCATTCATATCAACATGGCGGCGATAGTTTTGTTATTTTCATCAGGATATTGTTGGTTATGTGGGCTCAGACCCAGAAAAGTCGATATCCAATGGACGCCATTTTCTAGAGCAAAGCATCATGGGGAATTGTCTCACTTGTCAGTCAATGCCCGCTGAAATTATCTCGCAAATCGGTTTTCGGTGTTTTCTTTATAGAAAATTGGTACAACTACTTCATGTTCTCCACATTAAACACAAAAACCGATTTGGGGGATTATTTCATAATCGGCAGACATAACAGTGCCAGAAACCTCACTGYTTTCTCGTAGAAAATCAACCTCGTTCCCAGGCTAATCTATATTCGTTTTAGGTTCTTATAGTTCACCAATTAGAATCAGCGATAAAACCGAATTTGCCTYAGTATTTGATATCCAGAAATGTAGTTGTGGTAAAGTTTCCAAAGTCACTATCAAATATCACTTTAAGTTAACAAAAGATTGAACAATGAAACGGTATATTGCTCTCTCTGAAAAGATCCGTATGCAATATTATAATATTTTGTCCCGGTAAACGATATTGTCAAAAGTACACACTTTATAACTGTAATTGAATTCTCCCTCGAGGTATAGCGCATTTTTTCACCCGTAGGCTGTTATATTCATTTTATACCTTTTATATATTTTCCTCGGAAGAAAATTATTATAATTTTCTTCCGACGGAGTTAGTAGTGCGAATGATGAAATTTTTTTGTTATTCCCTAATAAAAAACATATTTTTCTATCATCTTTTGGCATAATCATCGTTTGGTGTTGATCGAGACTGATTTAACAAGGTTGCTGTTTTCGTTAAAGCATTTTTATGGTATATGACAGCAAATTCCTTCTCCTTTATTCATTTATTTCTAGTTTCTCAATTCTTAATTGTCGTTTTTTGATTCTACACTTTGACTTGCCTAAAAATCCGTGACTTTTAACCAAAAAAATAACTGAAGTCGATTCTTACCTTTACGTTCAAATCTGATCGTTTGCCCGTGTTGGTGGTGGGATGTTTCATTCCCGCAACAAAACCATGGGAGGGATCAAAGAACATGTTCAACATTAGTATAACTGTACAAAAAATAACACACGCTCCTCGCGCCATGTTAGACGTTCTGCCTTTTCGTCAGCTCCCCRMGTCAGTGAAGAACTTCGTTAACTCATCATCGTTATATACCATTGTAAATATCGATGGAGGTTTGAATATTCATGAGAACGTGGTAGAACGGTAATGCGTAGTTTTAATTTTTATTAAAAGAATTAATGCCAAGGCTTCCGTTTTGTTTATGGAAGTATAAACTCGACGAAAGAGAGATCAAAGTGGTTTCGGTCGTAAACTGTCATTTTCATCAAAGTTTGATGTTGCTCGTCAAAATTAAACGGGAAGTCGAAGATTGCTATATTAATTACAGCATGACAGAAACCATATGTTTTAATTGTGTTTATCATTGTGCGTTCTCTTGACTCGCAAATCGTAAACTCAATGCAAAACTAATAAAAGTCAAAAGAGGTTTATCTTAGTAATAACCTAAGTCTTAATAATCTCCATTAATTTAGGAGTAGCTATGTTGTTCTGGTATATCTTTTGTTCCGTTCATTATACTCCTCTACAAAAGTTCCTTCCTCGCTCCGGAAAATCCAGAGTTATGTTGTTTTCAAGAATGAGGTTCTAACCTAAAATTTTAATTGGAACTGTCGACTAGAAAACACTGAAAAAACCTCAAGGGTTGTGATTACACATGTAAGTAGAGAAAACGTTGTCATTGAGGAATATATTTCTTGTTCAGTCCTGTTGTGGGAGTGGCAAGCCAAGAAATTATTGTGTTTTTGAAAACAGTAAAAGTTGTCTATTAGTGCACGTGTTTATAATTTCACTCAATTTTATTTTATTCAATCTTTCTGTTATATTGTGTTAAAAATTATTTCATCATTTCTATTCTATTTCATTTTCTATTCACTTTTACTCCACTCGATTCCATTCCATTTCATTCTAGATAAGTCAGTTTCATCAYTATTAACTCTATTTTAATACCATTTCATCATATTAGTACTATTTAGTATATATTTTGCTATTTTTTATGTTATCGCCGGGTTTTTTTTGGTAAAATCGAGACTCGACTAGACAAGCTATACAACTGTCAGTCCACTGTGTAATTTATGTCTAATTATCGTGATTATTTTGTGTCTTGTTGTCAATTACGGAAATAGTTTAATGATGAAGTCAAAGTATAAATACCCWACCCTAAGATGGCTGATATTAATTAACATATTCTTTATTATCCACGATAATGTCCAATATCATCGCTAGTCCACCAGCTTACCTTATTGTCGGAATATTTTGAATAGGGCTACTTGATTTCGCCATTAGGAGTCTAACAAAAAAGCGAATAATATATTTGAAAAAGACTATAAGTCTGTCAATTGGTAAAGAGTAATCCAATCCAATCCAGCTTTATTCCATGATCAGGAACGCTAAACGTTTAAACGYCGTTTAATCTTGTGACATTGATTCGTGAACTGTACATACGGTACTAGACCTTCAGATAGTAAAGTTACTTTKCCGTCGATCAGATATTCAGACTTACAGATGGTTCAAAATTCCTCAAGGATCTGTGCTTGGACCTTTTGTGTTTTTAATTTTGAACAATGTGAACAATCTTGATCAATTTGAATGCATATYCTAGTAGTTGAAGTTAGTATTAATCACGTAGTCCTCTGTCGTACGTTTCGCTRTAYAGTTTGGGTGTACGTAGAGGCATTCTARTATGATTKAGGTTTGCRTTCCTTACTGGTGAACAATCGTACCATTATTGCAGACATGGCATTCTAGTTGGACTTAATTTAATAACATCATTACAACATCGAACATTTTTTGACATTATCTATAAACTTGGAAATGGTAAAAAAAAATCRTTTAGGGTTCCTTTAGTAAGAGAGACTTTGATCATATTTTGTATGTTTTTTCTTTTTTTAAATGTAGTTTTCATGTTTTTTTTTTTGAGTAAATTATATAATACTGTTTCGAGGGCGCAATATTTTTTTCACTTTTTTGTATATGAGTATTCAAAGTAGATCAGTAGCTGTTGCATGTACTGCGTCATACAGCCCACGTTATCGTTGAAGACCATGGCAATCCACGCAATGCTTAAAATATCATCTTAAGATTTGATAATGAATTTGGTTTTCTTTTTCTTTTTCATTGCTTTTTTTTAATTTTTTTTTTCAAGGTTAAAGGGACGAGAAATGTTGTAAACCGAGTGTATTACAATTATGAATTGATGTTATGTAACGATAATAATAATAATGGTACGATCAGTAGGAATCTTTCAGTTGTGGAATCTCGATGAGCCTGTTTCCTTGACGGTAATCATTCCTGTCACCAAAAAGTATGCAGGCGATTGAGATGACCGCCGATTTAAAGAGATTTTCTCGTGATAGCAACAACCCTTGCGATTATTTGGAAATCAGACTTAATCCAAAAAAAATAAAAAATTAAAATTGAAAGACAATCAGTGAACTCGCGGATTTTGTTGCGTTTTGAGTTGCCACGTAGTCCGCGAGTTAATTGTCGCGGCGAGATCGTTGTGCTGGTCGTTTTACAGTATTTATGTTCAGCATTATGTCCAGTTTAAGTTGAAATGATTTTTATGTAATTGTAAATCAATAAAGTTGAAATAAAATATTTGTTAAAATAAAAGATCGAGCTAAATATTCAATGTGAAAACAAAAGGTATTCGTATATTAGTAGGAAAATAGCCAAATGGATGAATAATGTTAGGAAACCACGAAAAAAAAGAACAAAGCAAACACAAATAGAGAAAGGAAGGGATTAGACAAGAAAAAAACTGAATGAAAGTAATGCAAAGAAAATTGGAAAAAAGAAATATTACTACCCACGTCTGCATCTTTTCGTTAGAGGATCAGCTACAGTGCCTAAACTTGCACAGAGTGAATCGTCCTTCGATCATTGTGTGTACAAAACAGTCGAACTGAGAAACCTTTACCTCTTGTAGATTCTCGATAATCGTTTCTGATACAGATTCTATAGAAGCCTGGGCAGTAGTGTATGGAGTATTTGTAGCTACCATAGAATAGTAATGCTTATAATTGCTTTATATATTTAGAGAAAGTGTCGACTCTTGACTTCACGCCAGAGTGTCATTCAAATGAATTAAAAATTATGAGGATTAAAAAGTAAAAACTTAAAAAGGGTATTTCAACTGTCTTTACGAAGTTCGTGTCACAAAGTACACTACTGATATGTGAAAGGAAGCAACCCGGCAACTTTTAGCGTCCAATTAAATTCTCTCGAGATCATAAAGGAATTGACTTTTATTGTTTTCCCGCTGTATATAATTGGAATATGACGGATATCAAGATCTGACATTTTAGTGATCATCCAGTTTTGTCATTTTTCACCTACTTTTCCTTGCTTTGAAATAACTTTTAGAGGTTGATCAGAATATCAGTTATTGATGATAGTTAAAAGTTCTGTTTTTCGCGAAATAGTGGCCAAACCTAGACATTTTCAACCGTCCGTTTCCATTTGTAACTAATCCCATAGTATATGCTCTTTGTATTGACCCATTTCCCATTTTTTCATTGTTTTCTGCAACAAGCAATCCGAATCCCTTAGTACATGAAATCCAATTTTCCAAGTCCATCGAGACTTCAGAACCCTCAAGCAGTTTTTGTGTGCTGCTAATACATAATCGTTTCTCCACCTTTTTGGAATATGACACAATTTTCCTGTCAGTTAAGATAAAGACGCATTTTCGCTAGCCAAGTGCCGAGGGCATGTTTGATGATGGTCCGTTTTAAAATTAAAAGACATGAAATTGAATCGTACTATTAAACATATAAGTCTTTGGCACGGCGTTTAAAATCAGGATGTAAAGCACCGGTCTGTCAAAAATATATATACACAGCTCTTTAGTTCAGCTTTCCTAAATTGAAAATATCCTATTGCAGAAGTTTAAAAGCCCAAGGGACTCGCGTAATCAAAGGCACTCGACGGCTGAGTTCATAGTGGCTCGCTGTAATCTAAAGAAATGGCTAGGCCAATAAACTTGTCGTGTTGAATAAGATACTTCGCTTATAGTTTTCCTTGACGAAAGCCTGGTACGCGACTCGTGTCATTTTTGTCAGAGAACGACCTTCGCATTCAATGCTAACAAAATTGCTTTTGTAAACTTATGAATGATTGATGTTTAGTTTAACTTCAAGGCAATCGGAAACACAATCATAAAAGTCCATTGAAATATAAAAAGCAATATTGGACACTGCAAACGCAGGTGCGCAAACCCAACTGAAGAAAAAATGTGATGTGATGCGCTTGTGTTTGGGTGGTTTTCTCCGCCTTACAATATGTGCGAGCGATTGCGTCAATTGATTTAATACAAGGTTGTTGATAAACGTGCCATTCTCTTCAATGAATGTAGTAAAATAACTACAGCCACGGAGACTAGACTAGTCTATGACCATATAGCTATATATTATTTATAACGATTAATCAAATACAACGATGGTAGAGTACAAATATTAAATGTGTGCAACACTTTCCACTATTTACACTACAAAATAGTGTTAATGAAACAATAGAAAACAATAGAATTAGCATAGTTTAGCAGTATTTAGTGGTATTTATGTTGCACAGTTTTAGTGTTTGTACTCTACAGCAAAACCTATTCAAAAATTTAAGGAAAACGTTATTTAGATGTAATAAGGCACTCGGAACCAATGCAAGGAGCACTGGACATATTTTGTTTATCAGTCTTTTGAGTGCATCTGATTATAAAATTCATATTAAAACATAAGTATCAATAATTTTATCGTTAACTTGATGAAAGGCCGCCATATTGGATCTTTGCTTTCTGTTTGGTTTAATAGTCATCCAACATGGTGACGATATCTCAATTTTACATCCCTATGGATTCTTGGTTGTGTTTTCTATGCTCTACGTTAACCGTGAGTGTGATTGCTTTTTTTACTTACGCAAAGGTACCGAGTGCGTATTCTTACGCACGGACAATACGTTTACGTGAGTTCTCTAGTATGAGGTCCCGTCCATCTGTTGTGTTCACGTAGCGTAATTGTATTGTTCTCTGTCATTATATAACAAATAAAGAAAAAACGCCACGAAAACGCAGTCTTCGTTAAATTCGGACTATGATAACGTTTCCGTCCAAGTGTAACCATCGTGGCGTTTAAAGTTTTGATTTGAAAACTGGCGGTGACAAAAAAACCTCTGGCGTAAACGTGCCGTGGAAACCGTACGGAACGTGGTGTTTTAATTTTATACGTGCGAGAGGACCTTTCTCAACATTTTTGGCGTTCAAAATGCAAAATTCAGTGACGTCGCGCTCAGGAACATACAATTGAACAATGACGTAACCATCATCTTCGTCCCCAGACCTCCACGAGTCATATCCAAGGCGTGGTACAAAGGCTGGTTCACCTATGACGCCATGTGAGTTCCACACTTGTCTTTCCTGGCCCTGAGAGTCAAACTAACAGAAAACAGAAAATGAGAATATTTTAGCACCTAGTTTGTACAATCTATGATTTGTGGATTGTGTGTGTGCTCTTAATGCACTTCTCTACATCAACAATACCTTAACAATATCTCTAAAGGGAATGTTACACCCTGGTCTGTCATTTGCCATGAAGTAGTTGTATCTAGTTCCTTTCATACCATGGCGATAAGGGTGTACACCGGGAAACTCCACTGATGCTCTGTCAGCCTGCACTCTAGTGCACTTTCTGGTACTCAAATCGATATTGAAGTTAAATGCCCTTCCTGGAGCTACTGAGAAATTTGACAGCCATATTTTACTGTCAAACGTCATGTCAAACTTTGTGTCTAAGCACACTGCTGTGAAGTTTATGGAATTGCCTTCTTGTTGCGCAGTACCAAAATGAAAGATCTGCAAAGGAATATCACTGCTTTAATTATATTGCTATTAATTATGTGAACTTAAGTCATTCCTAGTGGTCAAAAGTACAAATAACATCAAACCAACCAAAATGACAAGTGAAATTTCATCACTGTCAAACCTACTATCTCACAATGCAGGCTTTTTATAGGGATCAAGTTCAGAATTTTCAGCAAGGACCTCCATTCTCTTGTATGATGGAGTACCACCTCCCCCACCCCTTTTCCCTTTGATATTATCTGCCCAATGTATTACCAACCCTGTGGGGAAATATAAAAGTGTAGCATCTTGCCCATGCACACAACACATCCACCTGAGCCAGGATAAACATTACTTGAAGGCTATTGACAACAGGGCGGACTCTTGAACTTACATGAAATGGATCTGTGTCAACCATGATGATGTCCTTGCTACCTTTTTCCAATTTACGAGGGATAATGACAAACTTTGATGGCATATCTGGATAATATTTCATTTGTTCGCCTGGTGACGACAAACCAGCCAGTATCTTGACTACAGCTAGCCAGGTAACTTTCACAAATGGAGTCATGTGAAAGATATAATAGTCGGGGAGGAGCAAGAAGTCATGGGCATAGTTTAAGCCATGAATACTATGAAACTGTCGTTGAAGCAAAGTCCATGTGGGAGAGAATTCATAGATTGCTAAGCTTGGCTTGTGGGACAATGTCGCTGGCTTTATACTTATGCAGACAAGACGCTGAATAAGATAAAAAAATAATGTAAAACTGAGAAAAAACTGAGTTGGAGATTGCAAAATATCATCACTGCATTCCCTGAGCCAAGAAAAAGCATGTAACAATAAACCAAATAGTCCTAATTAGTGTTCTTGTTAGTAAGGTGGGGGGGGGGGGGGGGGCAATTTTCAAAAAGACCCCTAAAAGATCCCAGAAGTCAGACGTCTTGATTAAAAAGGGAGTGGCTGACAGATTTTTAACCCCTAAGAGATTGCACAAGAAAAATTAAATCAGTTAGAGGAAAATCAATATTGAAGCGCTCTTTCTCTTCTTTTCCAACACCCTAAGAGATTGCAGAAAAAGGAAATATCCCGAAACTCCAAATTGGCACCCAAGAACTGTCCCTGGGGGTGAGATGTATTCCTTGCAATTTATTTAATGTTTGATAGAATAGTACCTCAAAAGTGTTTTCTTGTTTCATTTTATAGGGTAAAAATATTTACATCTTAACAAAGGAAAATTCAGAACAGATTTTGTGGGCTAATTTCAAAAGATAAGAGTAACTTAAAAAGGAGTGCAAATACCATATTATACTTCACTTGAGAAGATGGAGTCGCTGCACGTCATTGCCCATTAACAAAAGTATGCTTGCAAACTTGCGTATGCTTACAGTCTTGATTGAACAGGGCTCAACTTACAGTGCGTTAAATAACAATTTCATTTGTACCTGTTTCTCAGAATCAACTCTAAAATGGGCTGCCATGGTACCAAGCTTAAGAGCTCCTCCCATTCTCTCAGGTCCAAGAGTCTCTAGAGTGTATGGGTCAAGACAATATGGTATACTTGTCTCATAACATGTTATCACCTTGAAAAGTAAGTAAAGCTTATTTAGGGTTGATTTAGTACAAGTATTTACCATTTTTGATGGAAACTAGCAGTAAACTAGTAGTCTATGAGCTACGTCAGTTCAAAGAGACAGTTGTGAAATAAGATAAATTTTAACATCGTAAAAGTAGGTGAAAGAACTTAATCTTTCGCAGGAGCAAAGCAATGAAACTGGTCTACTTTTTTTCTCTTCTCATTGTATGCGTAAATAAGGATATTACATGTGTGTGTAGAGATATGGATTTTATCTTCAAGTGTAACTTAAAAGATCTCACGAGTGAGTATAGCGAGAAGATAAAGTTTGTATATCCAAGCGACCATGTAATATTATGGTTATCATATAATTACATATGAAAGCAAATTATGTCATAACTAGACGCTCTTGGAGCGTGAAGTCGGTCTAGCTATTTTTGAATGTATATCATGGCGAAGAATATTATATTTTTTACTTCTAATACATAGTGAAAGCAAGAATGCGTGACCGTTTATTCACACGATACGATATTCTTTTCGACTGCTCTCTGCAACGACTTCAAAATGATAGAAATCTAAATTTTGACCTAAAAGGTCATGTAATTAATACTTAAAGACTAGATGTCTCTAAGTGATATCATATCTAATACGTTTTTAATTCAAATTGTTGACCTCTCAGGCCATGAAAATAAATACTTTTAAAAAGATGCCTATAAAATAATCAAAGTCGCCTTTTTGTTATTTATCAACAAAGTTTCTTGTTGTTCTAATTTGAAATCTTTGCCCCCACAAGACTGTCTAACACTAGAAACCATATTGATTCAGTTTTGTAAGCATACAACTCGAAACTCTATGCGATTTGCACATGCGCGTACTTCTAATGCCTAGACAGATGCATTCCGATGAGATCACAGATWCCACATTTGTAAACGAATAGTTTTTTTGTCATATAAAAGCCAAGTAGCATATAACATTTACTAACGATATTCGTACAATGCGCTTGAGCTTCCGGTTATGTAATAACACAGCCAACCCAATAGTTAATTATTAAATTCTTAACTTCTGGTGGTCCAAACGCGACATAATAAATAGATAGATAGATAGATAGATAGATAGATAGATAGATAGATAGATAGATAGATAGATAGATAGATAGATAGATAGATAGATAGATAGATAGATTGATAGGCTAAAAGGTAAAACTAAAGTCGACCTAGCCTTCAGCTAGTCCGACTAATTACCTTTTTCTTACTTACACTATATAGAGAAACCTTGAATGTGTTATTTTCACTAGTGAACATGCATATCAACTTGGAGAAATATAGGTATTTTATAGATAATTATATGATAAATGTCAATATCCTACCTTTCCACCCCAGTAGAATGAGTTTGTATTGGAAGGGTTTCTAAATGCAATACTGGGTAGCGTACCAGTGACCAGGTTTCCTAGCAACGCTGCGGTTCCTTTTAATGCATTACTTGCTGTCGTGCCCATCTGACCAGCATACATATAACGACGCTGCTCATTCTCCATTTTTCTGTGTTTTGTGGAGACAAACTTTGACTTGAAGTGTACATGGCCATTTTGAAAAGTCAGAGCACAAACCATACCATCTCCATCAATAGCTTATTTTGAGATCAAATCAGGTTAGTTAAAAGAACACTTTTGCTCCATGAGTGAATATTGTAAAACCTAATGAGTAAAAGACCCTCGTTTTTGGTCACCCATTAGGCTAAAATTGACCCTACAATGCTGTAGGTCTGCTGTAAGTCAAGTTAATGTTTTAAGTTAAATTTGTAGTGAAAAAAAAAGGAAAAAAAAAAACAATAGTGCCATATTGCAAATTGAAGAAAACGTGATTTGAAATTTGCCATTTTTGTGTAGCAACTTATAGCTTAAGTAAATATTTAGAAATCATCGCGTGACAGCTTGAACAAAAGTTGTAAAGCTTTTGCCGTGCAGCACGACTGACTCTGCCGTGCTACAGTCGTGCTACAGACCTGCTACAGTTGTGCTCCACGTATGAACTGGGCCTAATAAGTAAAAGTTTTAAATTACCAAATAAAAACATTTTTTTTCGGTAGGATTAGTTTTCAAATGAAATTCAGTCTTCAAATGTCATAGAACACGATGGAAATCAAATAAAGTTGATCAGCTCATTCAAGGATAATAAAACCACTGTTTTTGAGTGCTTTTAATATCCATGCTTCATGAGTGCCATTCTTATCTGACCCATGACTTATAGCCGTTGTTTCGTTCTAGATTTCCTTTTCTTCTCGTGCGCGATGCAAAACGAATTTGAGATCTTTTCAAGTTTTAACGACATGTATCAGTACAAAAACTAATGCCTTGGTAAATATGATAAAGAAAGAAAGATAGAAAACAGATGTATTTTTTAACTTACGGTGTACAAGTTTTGTTCCATAAACTTCGTCGATTCCTGGTCCATTTCTGAAGAACGTACCAAAAAAATCATCGGGAATTTTTCCCTCTATGTCAGCCTCAGGCACCCAGTAAGAATATTCTCTTTGACCCCGCCAACCTCGGCTGCATTTTGCGAGATCAAGAGGGCGGTCTTCATACGAATTCGCCATAGTTCTTGTTTACTCAACTACACAGGAATCCCACTTGTTGGAGATTTTTATTGTTATACGTCATGTGTCATAAATTATCATAATTTTAATTTTGCTGATATACATGTATTACAACACTTCTCTGTTCTGTCTTTTATTTGCAATTTCCGTCTTCAATTTACTCTTTTATTCAACAAGTTCCACATCATTTTAAAGTTTTTATCAGACTCAAAGAGAATATTATACAAAACCTGAATTTCCGCAATCTTAGAAAGAAGAATTCATGAGACTAAAGGACGGAGTTGACGAGACGAAGCTTAGTACCGCCATGATGTATTATGATATTATGCCCTTTCAATAATTCCAAGAATTCCTTTTCAAAGACAACACGTTGGCGAAATGGTAATATTGAAGGTGATTCTACGTTTACAGCTGTCTGTTGTGAAGTCAATTGCGCGGTTAGTTGTGATGTACAGGCCTGTTTACCTCGCGTGCATGGTTTTCGGTTTGACTGTTTTGGATGGCTGTGCTGCTAGCTGTGGAGGTGGGATTACCGAATCCTCTGGGAGCATCAAGAGTCCAGCAACCTATTCTGCCACAGCTTTAAAACCCTTAACTTGTAAATGGGTTATTATGGCCAAAAAGTACGAGACAATTCTGCTAACCTTCCCAATTTTTAATGTGTTGATGGGGACAACAAAAGATGACTGTAATAGAGATTACGTAGAAATCATAGATGGCGGTGATAGTTTGGGAAAATACTGCAATAGTCAGTCCAGATATCCCATGAGATCTATACCATCAAAGTCAAATTCTGTTACAATAGTATTCAAAGCTACTGGTTCTCCTTATGGCCAAAAGTCAACATTTCAAGCCACTTACACTACACAATGTGGTGGGTTGTTAAAAAGTTCAAAAGGTGAAATTACAAGCCCTAATTATCCACAGCCATATCCAGTACCGCTATCTTGCTCTTGGAAAATACAAGTACCAAAAGACAGTGTCATAAGATTTTTTTTCTTAGAATTCAACTTAGAAGCTTCTTCACAATGCAATCGAGACTACCTCAAAGCTGTGGATGGCTTAAATGTTACCTCAAGGTTGATTGGCCATTTCTGTGCCAAAAGAACTCCTCCCACAGAACTTCGCTCTACTAGTAACTCAATGATGCTCAATTTTAAATCCACCACTCCGACATCTACAGGCAGTTTTCACTTTTATTATAAAGTGGAGCCACATTGTGGTGGGAATTTGAGAGGGAATACTGGAAGTTTTTCCTCGCCTGGATATGGAAATGTGGTTCATTCAACTGGCCCTCATAACTGTAAGTGGACCATAGAAGTCCCTATTGGTATGGTCATATCAGTTGTTTTTGCTTCTTTTGATGTGAAATCATCTTCAAAGTGTTTAAACGATTATGTTGAGATTATTGATGGATCTGGTGGCACTGCAAGAAGCATGGGACGATATTGTGGAAGAGAAGTGGTCAATCCACCAACTGTTCACTCCACTAAAAATATAATGGTTATAATACTTCACCGTAGTACTGACTCAGGAAAGGGTTTCTTTGCAACGTACACTGCAGTCAATCCTAAGAATCCTTACAATATGTGCGCTAAAAAAGCTGATGAACTACTATATAGATGCAATAATAATAACTATATTCAGTGCCAGTGGAAATGTGATGGTACAGATGATTGTGGCGACAATTCAGATGAGCAAAATTGTGACACATCTACAGTCAAGCCCACTAAAAGCAACAAAATGACAAGTTACGTGATCATTTTGGTGTCCATCACTGGGTTAGCAGTCCTCATAGCCTTCGTGATTTTTATTATTGATAGGCTAAGAAGAAAAAGAAGGTCACAAGCCTCAAGTAGGCGTCGTAGGCGAAGGCGCGCACGTTTACTTGCTTTGGAGGCAGACTCAAGAGAACCAAATTCACCGCCTCCTACATATGACTTTGCCATTTCTGGGTCCAGTTGCTGTGACACTACTAGCATGCCACCACCTTATGTTGAATCATTAACTCCTGCAAGTACCAGTGAATTTACAGAGATCACAGCTATGTCTAATCAAACGGCAAGCTCTGATGCTGAGCAAAGTGAGGAAACTTCTCAGGATATCAATGATCAACAAGTGGTTGAAGCTAACAGAGATGACATGGAGGTTAATGTTGAGTGTGTTAGCTTGGGTGAATCACCACCATCTAGTGATACATCACCATTGATTGTCTAGATAGCACCAGAAACTTGCATGGTAGATTGAAACATATTGTGGTTAATGCTTTAGGGCTGAGAAATACAAGATGCAAAACTCCTCAACTTGTCACACAACATCACTGCTGTTCAAGTAAATGTTTTTCTTTTCAGCTTAAGCACTGACAACTTTTCATGCATCAAAGACAACCATGCCAAAATGTAAATAATGAAGAACGACAGTTACAAAACATTTTGAGGTGTTTGGCATCTTATATTTCTCTGTCTTAACAAGAGTAGGGTTTTTTAATGGTTAAAATTTTACATATCGAAACTCACATATTTACTAAAATTCGCCAATTAATCAATGAATAGCAGATTCATTTCATAGAATAAGCTTTGTCTTAATTCTATGCTTAACCCAAGATACCAATTGGGTCCTCCAGTGGTTATGTCACAAAACAATTTCAGAATATTCATATAAAAAGTTTGTATTTGTAACTGAACATTGTATACTGTTTCAACAAAGTTTTGTTTCGTAGTACCACTGGTAGCCAAGATACGAGTGCTTTTATGGTTGGATGATCACAAATCCATTTTGAATTAATGTGGTTCCTTTTCAAAGGAACCAAGCCAAATTTAGAAGGGTTTGTAACTAAAATCTCAACTAAAAGTAGCAAATAAATAGCCATTTGTTCTCAAGATATTTCATAATTTGTGGTTACAAATCCCATGAATTCACCAAAACATTTTAATGATGCAGCACTTGAGTGGTCTGCTTGCAAAGTAAAAGTTTTCAACCAAATGATTTTATGGGTATTTTAGTTTGGTTCTGTCATGTGTTTCAATCTATTTGTAGGGTTCTGAAAGAACTTTAAGTCATTTCACTTCATTTTCTTTTATAATCACATATAAAAATTACAGTATAGTTAATAATAGTGATTATTAATTGTTGTTAAAAATGTTTTATGTAGATATTTAAGTTCGTGTTATTGTATATTATATGTATTTTAAGACTTGCTAGGAGAGATTTTGGATGGGGTAATTGTAAAGTATATTACATTATTTTTTATCTAAAACAGACGTTTTTCAAAAAAAAAAGTTAAAATGAAAGAAATTTTATGTCTGCCATCTTGCAATGAAGCTTGACTCATTTATTATGTACTTACCAGTTTTGATAGACATTTATTCATAGAGTGAACACATTAAATCAGTGGGGAAAAAATTTAAGCACTCAACACCAATACTGCAACTGGAGAGAACATTTGGGAAATGTTTCTTCGTCAACACCATTTTACCAAATTGCACAGCATTAATAGAATTGTTCCAATTGTTCACTCTGAAAGATACAGTCAATACGTTTAACGTTGTTCAGTTTTAAAAACAAAGAAAACAACATAGTGTTGATGTCTTTATGTCTTTACAAGTGAACAGCGTTGATGGGATTGGCTGACTGTATATATATAGTAATTTGTAGAGATAGTTACCTGGGGATAGAATCATATAAATGGAATAGGAAACGTTTTCAAATATGTTTTTTACTAACTCAAAATACTTGCATTTTATAAAAGCCACAATATTCGGAAAATGATGTATTAAATAGTAATAAAACCATTAAACTTTGAAATGTAAAAATTTGAACAAATTTCGTCCAATGTCAATATTCCAATGTCAATTTCAATGTCAATATTCCAATGTCCAAATTAGCCTCCTCCACAGGCAACTCTTTTTTCCTCCTTTGGGCTTCCTTTGTAACGGTCATTTTGGCCGTTAGGGACTAGTTTTCTCGCCCCCATTCTCCCTCTTTTGACTCCTCAAAAAGACAGGAAGCCCGTGATTCTTAGTGATGCCTGCGGAGGAGGCTATGTCCAAATGTCAATATTTCCTTTTTAAAAGTAATTGAACACTCTCTTTCATCTTATTTTCTTTGCCAGTCTTTTCCTTTCAAATTCCCATTCTCATTCTTCCTGATACTTCAGCTTTGATCATTTATTNTTTAGAAACACCGACGCAGCTCACACTAGTTTACCGCTAGTTCCCACCATTTTCCTTATGTTTAGTTATGTCGTTTTTGTACTACACAAGTTTTTTTTAGCTAGAACCTATACTATAAATGGTTCATTTTTGTGTTGAATTGCTTTGCCAATATTTTCAGTATCTTTCTAGATTTTTTTACGTCCTTTGAAATAGATTAAATATATAAATCCCACTCTCATTCAATGTTCTGGTTCTCATTCCCAGTAGTCAGAGTTAAAAATCCCAGTCCCAGTGCATCGGGCAATCCCATTTTCCCAGCCAAATATCTTAGGGGATAAAAATCAGTCAGCCACGCCCTTCCGGGATCTTTTAGGGTTCTTTTTGAAAAYTCGTTCGTTGCGCACTGAAACTACTCAAATCGTTTCTAGAAAGATGTATGACGCTATTCACTGTAAAGTTTTTGTGTGTATACTATGCCCACRGAAGATGCAAGTCTAGAAGGTGTGAAAACGTTGCCTACAATCCTACAACTACGAATTTTCACAATCATATTAGATTCACAGGGGAAAATATAACAGGCATATTAGATTCAACATAATTATTGCAATCTTTAAAATCAGATAGAGGACAAAAGCTAATATATATGTACTCATTGGTTTTTGGTCTTGTAGTTAATTTGGGATCCCTGTGTTTGTCGCTCAAACAAACTACTCAACTCTGTTTTGTCTAGAATTAAAATCGCGGTAAATTTTCACCGTTATCAATATTCATCTTTTCTATAAAACAACGTTGAAAATTTACCGCGATTTAAAATGTTTGTTAAGATGTCTAAACTGAACCGTAAACCTGTGTCATGCAATGACATATTAGTATAAGCCAGGCTGCTAGAAAAATAATATTCTTGTCCTTTGCTGCTATTATAAGGCTGAAATATTTTATTTAAGACCAAACCTAATCTCTTTTTAAAACTTCCCTTGGAARTGGTATGTTTTAAAAGAATGAATTCAGTTGCTACGAATTGCGTGACTTCACACTTGTGTGCCAGATGTCAACAAAGCGCGAATTTTGGCTAAAATACCGCTTACAAAAATATTCGCCAAAAATCACGATTTGAATTGCCCMAAAATTTTATTTCATATTTTGAATAAGCTATCTTAAGACGTTAAAACAGTTATAATATCAATGTCTAAATCAATATAACATCGGAGTTATTTGGGCTTTATTTATGCATAGTAAATTTAGCCCGAAAAAATGTTAATTAATGAAAATTCTGTAAAATATTCTCTTTCKAATATTTTATTGCAATATTTTGTAATATAACAAAGAAATATATATATTTTGTAGAGGAAATTCGATTTCTTTTCAAAACGAAGAAAGTTTGCTGTTATTTTGCGTTTTGTACAGTGCACTAAATTAAGCGAAAAAACCGTAAGTAAACATTGAAATCAAACATTGTCGCTTTTCTTCCCGAATATAATCCCGATTGAACCCAAACTCACACAGCATGACCAGCTCACCAAATGCAATTTTATGACAGAGTTTGAAGGATTTTGAATTTTCTCATTTTACCAACCTTGCTTGACGGTCTCGGAAAACCGCTCTTAACGTTGTTCAGTTTTAAAAACAAAGAAAACAACATAGTGTTGATGTCTTTATGTCTTTACAAGTGAACAGCGTTGATGGGATTGGCTGACTGTATATATATAGTAATTTGTAGAGATAGTTACCTGGGGATAGAATCATATAAATGGAATAGGAAACGTTTTCAAATATGTTTTTTACTAACTCAAAATACTTGCATTTTATAAAAGCCACAATATTCGGAAAATGATGTATTAAATAGTAATAAAACCATTAAACTTTGAAATGTAAAAATTTGAACAAATTTCGTCCAATGTCAATATTCCAATGTCAATTTCAATGTCAATATTCCAATGTCCAAATTAGCCTCCTCCACAGGCAACTCTTTTTTCCTCCTTTGGGCTTCCTTTGTAACGGTCATTTTGGCCGTTAGGGACTAGTTTTCTCGCCCCCATTCTCCCTCTTTTGACTCCTCAAAAAGACAGGAAGCCCGTGATTCTTAGTGATGCCTGCGGAGGAGGCTATGTCCAAATGTCAATATTTCCTTTTTAAAAGTAATTGAACACTCTCTTTCATCTTATTTTCTTTGCCAGTCTTTTCCTTTCAAATTCCCATTCTCATTCTTCCTGATACTTCAGCTTTGATCATTTATTGATAGACATCACTGTGCAGTTATTTGTGCAGTTATATTGAGAATTCTGAGGGTAATTAGCCCAATCAGACTGAAATAACAAGTCTGTGACCTTGTGTATTTACTTATTTCTCATCTTTTTCAAGAGCAGAGCCCGCATATACATGATCAGCGGTCATACCCAATATCGTTTAGAGTCGTAGATACCACAGAAAGCCCGACTTGGTGCTTAGGTGGCCCAGACAGCAATTTCTTGTAAAAACAACCATCTTAGACTTCCCTTATCGTCTTTACGCAGAGCTGTTACTTCAATCTTTATACACCTACACAATATCCCCTCATCACTCGTCGCAATTAATTCCTTCTCGTCTTTAAATGATTTCCATAAAACGTATTTATCACATTTGTGAGAATCACTCCACGATATCTTTGCACCACCAAAGAAGTCCAACTCTCCCTCTCCTCCCCCCGAAGCGACAGCTATCTTAACAACGTTTGTATCATTGAAAAAACGAAGCAAAATATAGTCACCAATGCCAAAATCCTTTCCCCAGAAGTAATCGTGAAGACTTTTATCCCCATAGGTTCTGGATATATCAGTGTACTTCTTGGGCATTGCATGTTTGATTGATGTGGTTACGCTAGCCTCGGGATTGCTGCAATTTTCATAGCGAATTCTTGGAACCACCGTCGCCTTTCTAGTTACACCGTCTAGAGAAGATCGCCGGCCACCATGATGGAACAACTGAGACTCGTACACAGCCCATTTTGGATTCCCGTACAGATGAAACTCATTGTAATGTCGACTTAGCATATCAACAGGCAGGGACCAGTAATACGTTCTGAGAAATTTCGCTAATTTTCCAAGATCTGCAGACCTATACATCCACCCTATAAATCCTATGGTTTTGGCAAATTCCAAAATTGACCAGTCTTTGTTGCGGTTCCTGTTGATAAATTCCTTTATATGCTTAAGATACCCCTTTTGTATGATTAGATCATCTTCTATATGCAAATAGTACTTTCCAGAATAGTTGCTGTAGACGTGGTTGAAGAGAAATGCGTAGTCTAGACACTGTTTTGAACGCCATTTCACTCTTTGAGGCTTGTCTTTCCATAGCGTCGGCAGTCCATCCAGAGTTGGATAGTAAGACAAAGGTGCTTTAATGATCTTCAGAAAACCTGAATTCAGTTCGTTTGAGAACGAGGACTTAACTTCCGTGACCACGCTTTGGATGGCTTCTTGTTTAAGGTCGGATAAGAATACGAGAATTGAGACCTGCTTTTTCTCCGGTTCTTGGAGACCATCTATTAAACCGCGTAATGTAGTGAGTAGATAATTTTCGTTCTTTCGTTTAACGGTTGGAACACCAATCACCAGAAATGCTAAAAAAACAAAGAGAAAATACTATCTTGAATATGACSAATTCCATTAAAAATTCCTTGGTACTAGCSATGACTTTGAATCTCATATCAGGGGATGGTCCCATTCACTTCGTGTTCTATACTTTTCCAGCTCGTTAAAATGGTCTCCTGGGGTTAGGGTTAGAGTTATCTCAAAATCCGAGCAGAAGACTGTGGGAGAGTGCTTCGGAGAGCACGGAAATGTAAAATGTTTCGATCATAACAATTTCACCATTTTGGGCTAACTAGGAAAGGGATCAAAAAGGTTCACATCGCTGGCATTGTTTACAACGAGGTTGAAGATCATTTAGCAGGAGTAGCAGAGCCCAGTGATCACATAAAGTTAAGTTGCAATGACTTAAACAGAATGCTCAGAGACACCATTATAGTAAATGATACTGCTGAAAACCTGGTGGTCGTTAGGGCGATTAAAAGAGCAAGGATTAAAATTTGGAGATGGTGCACAAACTACATCAAGAAGAGCTGCTACTAAAATCAAGACACAAAGTATTATGGGACTTATAACAAAAAACACACTTCGCGAAATTATTAGGAGGGGATGGCCTGGCTGCTAGATCCCATGGCAGTGACAAAGACAAAGACAAAAAGGTTTCGGACATTCATTTTTCTAACCCGATCCCTAATAACGCATTACTCGTCACACCTAGTTAGTGGGTGAAGGAGAAAAACCCGTGGAGCGTCGCTGAAGCATAATCTTTGAGGCCAGTATAAATTTCAATTAAATTTGATGCTTCTTACCGCTGTCATTTGTGTATGTATTGTTTCTTGAGAACAACACGTCAGCCGATGGGAAACTGACGCTTKGATGGTAAAGAGCTTGTGGATTCACGTTTTGTGGCTTTTGTCCTTGAAAAGATGAAACACTGCCTACGTGCTGAAATATAGGTGGATTTAACTTCGCCCATTCTGGGTTTCCATAGAGATGGAATTCATTAAATTGTCTTAYAAGAGTGTCCACTGGATAAAACCATGAAAAAATCCAGGTAAACTTGTGCAAATGACGAAGCTGCGAAGATCGATAAAGCATTCCAATGGACCTTTGATCACCGAACTCTAATACCGACCAATTCTTGTATTGATGTTTATTGACAAATGTTTCAATTRTCTTCAAATAGCCTTGCCGCGATGAAACGTCGTCTTCAAGGTGAAGGTAATATTGAAATCCCCACTTGTAGGAGTATTCCCATAAAAACGCGAAGTCTAAACTCTGCTTTCCAAGCCARTTAGTTTTCGCTGCGCTATGTCCCCATAAAGGAGGAAAGTCCATATTTTTTGGGTAAAATGAACGGGGAGCACGAATGCATTGTATTATCTTATTAATGTCACGTGGAAAAGTGACTTCGATAAGTTCTTTCATGTAATTATTTACTTCTTGGTTAAAGTCTGCCATTAAAACAGTGATCAATATCCGAYTTTTGTCATCTTCATCCAGGCCTTGAATAAGTCCTTTAAGAGTATCAATCAAGTAGCTGACATTGATACGACCAACCGTTGGTATACCAATCAACAAAAACTTCTTGGCCTCGCGACTGTGATTATATGTAATGACTGGGTTTGTCCATATAAATTTGAAGTTTGGGGAAGCTACGGTAAGTTTTACGGCTAATTTAGTGGGTGTTCTTTGATTAGCTCCTGCTCCATCACTTGTTATCTGTAGTATGGTTTTTGGTGCTGATGTTGTTGATATTTTTGTCGTCTTGTCTTTATATGTKTGCGATGAAGACGGTTGTTTCAGTATAATAACAGGATCTAGAAATACATAGCACAAATATTACTTTAAATAACAATAAAACTGTAGGAATATAACTGTCAAAGGAGAGAGGAAGTTTTACATCGTTTTAGCAGAACTTGAAACATTCAGATGGCTTTGCACTACCCATAATTGTTTCTTGAGAAAAGGTTTGATGAACTTGCCTCCGCCATTTTGAATTTTCAGCCATTTAGTTTATTCGTTTTTGTTGTGGGCTGGATCAGTGTTTCTAACTACACTTGCAAAGCGACTCCAGTAAAGGGATCCCCACTCCGGAGTAAAAGAACCGGGGATGCTGGTCAGAAATTTTCAACCCCTGAWAGATCCTGGAAGTCGTGTAAAAAGGGCATGCACAACAAATTAAATCAGTTCCAATGATAAAAATGCAGAGAAAATCAATATCAATTTGCTCTTTCTCCTCTTTACCAAATGTTCACCCTTATTAAGAGGTCTACAAGCATCCCCGGAATAGAATAGAATACTCCAGTTTCAAGTTTTAGTGCATAAGGAAGCATAGAAACAAGCATAAGCATCAACATAAGGAGAACATAACTATGAAAACCTATTGCCACATAATCAGAGTCATAAGCATATAAGCCATAGCATGTTTATGCAGCCAGCCTTGAAAGTGTGTCATGTCTTCTATTTATTCAGTRAAACCCTAATTTAAAAACTCAGTGYGCGAAGTAGATGAGAAAACAATAAGATTTTATGTAATATATAAAAGATGAGCGAGAGACCTTTATCGTCATTTTAAACCATGAGCTGCAAKCCAGCAGTTTTAGTAGTGTTTAAAAAACGAGCACGAGTSCTTTATCGGGAGATATGAGTGTCTATATCCMCAATAAAGCACGACTGCAAGTTTTTTTATACTACTTCAAGAACTCCAACATCCAGAAATTGATATCATTTTAGAAAAAAAGCTAAAAA